GGAAGAACACCCTTGATAATTCTCTAGCTAAAATAACTGAAGAAAAGATTCAAGCCTCGAGCTGCAATACTCAAGAATTCTACGGGCAAAACACTGAACAACGCAGGAAGCATCAAAAGAAGATGGAAGGAATACAGTCCCTGTACCAGAAAGAACTGTTAACGTTCAACCATTTCAGGAAAGAGCATATGATCAAGAACTGATGGTACTGAAGGAAGAAGTCCAATCTGCACTGGAAGCATTAGGAAAAAACAAGGCTCCAGGAATTAACGGAATACCCACTGAAATGTTTCAACAAAGGGATACAACGCTCGAAGCACTCACTTGTCTATGCCAAGAAATTTGGAAGACAGCTACCAGGCCAACAGACTGGTAAGATCCGTATTTGTGTCCACTGCAAAGAAAGGTGATTCCACAGAGTACAGAAATTACTGAACAATATCACACATGCATAAAGTTAATATCACACATAAGTAAAGTTTTGCAGGAGATGATTTAAAAACCGTTACAGCAGTACGTCGACAAGGAACTACCAGAAATTCCAGCCAATTCAGAAGAGATCCCAGACTGAGGGATATCACTGCTTATGTCAGATGGATTCTGGCTGAAAGCAGAGAACACAAAGGATGTTTACCTCTGTTACTGATTACTCAAAAGCACTGGACTCTGTAGATCACAACAAATTATGGATAACATTGTGAAGAATGGGAATTCCAGAACACTTAATTGTGCTCATGCAGAACCTGTACATACACCAGGAGGTATAATCACGCAGTATTCCCTTGTTTTGTTAGAAAGAATAAGGGGATACTGCATGGTTTAAAATCAGGAAATATGTGTGTCAGGGTTCTATCCTTTTACCATACCGACTCAATTTGTACGTTGAGCAAATAATCCAGGAAACTGGACTATATGAAGAATGTGGCACCAAGATTGGAGGGAGACTCATTAACAACCTGAGATATGCAGCTGACACAACCTTGCTGGCTGATATTGAATAGAACTTGAAGCAGTTACTGATGAAGATCAAAGACTAAAGCCTTCAGTACAGATTATACTTAAACATATAAAAAACAAAAATACACACAACTGGACCAATAGCAACATCATGATAAATGGAGAAAAGATTGAAGTTGTCAAGGATTTCAATCTACCTGGATTCACAATCAGTGCTCATAGAAATAGCAGTCAAGAAATCAACCAACATATTCCACTGGGCAAATCTGCTGCAGAAGACCTCTTTAAAGTGTTCAAGAGCAAAGATGTCACTTTGAAGACTAAGGTTTGCCTGACTCAAGTCATGCTTTTTATAATCACCTCATATGTATGTGAAAGCTAGACAATGAAAAAGAAAGACCAAAGAAGAACTGATGCCTATAACCTATGGTGTTGGTGAAGAATACCAAATATACCACAGACTGCCAGAAGAATGAACAAATACATCTTGGAAGAAGCACAGCTGAATGCTCTTTAGAAGTGAGGATGGCAAGACTTCATCTCTCATAATTTGGTCATGTTATCAGGTGGGCCCAGTCCCTGGAGAAGGATATCATGTTTGGTAAAGTGGAAAGTCAATGAAGAAGAACAAGACCCTCAATGAGATGCACTGACCCAGTGGCTGCAACAATGGACTCAAGCAGAGCAAAGATGATGAGGATAGCCCATTCAGTGTTCCTTTCTGTTGTTCACAGGATCACTGACTCAGAGCCTGTGCGACAGTAACTAACAAATCAAACACCATACACTTTCAATTTTACTAGGTACTGACAGATTACTATCTTAGCGTTCTTTTTAAAATTCAAAGATTAGAAAAGTTGATTCTGACTTATCACAAGCCTATAGGACAGGGCAGAACTTCCCCACAGGGCTTTCAAGGCTTTATGAAGGCTAACTGCCATATCTTTCTCCTGTGGAGCAGCTGGTGTGTTTGAACCTGTGACCTTGGGTTAGCAGCCATGTGTTTAACCACTGCATGACTAACTTAAGGGTGTGGGTTAATACAAGAAATTGAAGGATATAGGATAATATTAACAAGCATCTATGTGCCTACCACACACAAAGTGTTAATAAAATGTCCTATCTGCTTTGAAACATTTTTAATGAAATGTTAGAAATGAAGTTAAAATCACCTATGATCCCTGACATAAGGCTATCATGTTTTTTCCTTAGATGATTTTCTAAAACACTTTAGCAATTTCATGTCTACCAGTAATCCGTAACCAAAAAATAACCATTGCCATTCAGTCGGTTCCAAGTCATAGCAACCCTATAGGACCAAGGAGACCTGCCCCATAGGGTTTCTAAGGCTGTAAATCTCTACAGAAGCAGACCACCACATCCGTCTCCTGCAGAAACAAGACCTTTTGGTTAGCAGCTCAATGCTTTAACAACTGCGCCACCGGAGCTAATCTATAAACATGTTCATATCCCTGTATCTGGGAGTGTAGTGCCTAAGGCATTTGACTGCTAAAAGAAGGCTGACAGTTCAAACCTACCAGCCACTCCTTGGAAGGAAGATTAGGCAATCTACTTCCGTAGAAATAAGAGATACTGCCTTGGAAACCCAAGGAGGAGTAGCTATGAATCAAATCTACTCAACAGCAGTGAGTTGTTTTTTTTTTAAATCCCCATTTCTTTGCCAGCTGTTGCAAACTTCTCAATTTTTTCTAGTTCAGTGGGCAAAACAAACAAAAAAATATTGTCTCATTTTAATTTGCATTTCCTTGACTACCCAACGAACTTATCTTTTTGTATGATTTGCCCATTTACCATTTTTTGGGGTGTTATCAAATTCTATGTGTGTGGTGTTTTTAATTTTTTTTTTGCATATTAATAATTTTGGAGTGATAAATTTTCCTTGTCTAACAGTTTTCCATTTGGTTTATTTGTGGTGTTTTATCACCTGAATAAGAATTACATATTATTGGCTCAATGTTTTTATCCAGGCTGATGAACACCTTTCACCTGGTGGTCATATCTATTTTTCCTAACTTCTTTGTTAGTATTTCCTGAGTTTAATTTTTACATGTGACAAGCTAATTGATATTTAAAAAACTGGAATTAGCTCAAAAGAGCTAATCTTCTAGTTACTAAATAATCAAGTACTTCAGCCCTGTGTTCTCTTTTTGCACCCAATTTACCCCCCACTGAGAGACCCAGCTAAAGGCCAGCTGCAAGCTCACTCTAGGATAGGTACTTTCCCAAGGCTTTGCATTTTCTGGGCTAGAAAAGGAAGTAGTGTTTCAGTTGGAAAAGCTTTTCAATTAAAGATCCCGCTGAGCTTAAGGCTACATCTGGAAGCAAGAGTAAAGGAATCACATTAATGCCGGTAATGGATTTAATGGTAATGGATTTAATTAAATTGACAAGAACCAGCAAACAAGATTTTGCAGTAATAATTGAGATATGTCACCACCTCAGAGTGTGGAAGACTAAGACTAAAGTGCTCACACAGAAAGATTTATGGCATCACTTGGAGTGCAAAGAAATCTGTATGCACAGTAAGTGAGTTGCCAGTATTTCTCAAACTGGATGCCAAAGCCATACTGCTTTGGACAGTATTCTGAGAACTATCAGTATGGAGTCAGCACCAGCTGAGCAGATGGGCAATACATTAAAATGTGTACACTGCAGCATCACTCACGATAGCCACAAAGTAGAACCCAAGTGCCCATCAACAGAAGATTGGATAGATTAAATTTTATATATATATATATATACACACACACACACACACAATATATATTAAATACACATATGATACACACACACACACACACACTTCACGGGGCTGAAGTACTTAATTTATATTCATACACACACACACACACACATATACATATGTATATATGTCTGTGTGGATATATATATGTGGAGTATTATTCAACCAAAGAAAGAAATGAAGTTCTGATACATGCTAAGATATGGATGACCCTTCAAAATATCATGCCCTGAGTGAAGTAAGTCAGACACAAATGGACAAATATTGTATGATCCCACTTACATAAAATTTCTAGAATAACCAAATGCATGGAGAACAAAGTCTACTAGTGGTTACCAGGGGCAGGAAGGAAGGAGGAAATGAGGGGTACTACTTAAGGGTTGGGAGCTCTGGCAGCATAGTGGCTAAGGCACTTGACTGCTAACCAGAAGGCTGGCGGTTCAAATCCACCAGCCACTCCTCGGAAGGAAGATGGGGCAATCTACTTCCATAGTGATTCTACCTCGGAAACCCAAGGAGGGGTCGCTATGAGTCGGGTGCGACTCCACGGCATATAGCAACAACAAAGTACCTAAGGCACTTGACTGCTAATCAGAAGGTTGGCAGTTCAAACCCACCAGCCACTCCACGGAAGGCAGGTTGGGCAATCTACTTCCATAGTGATACAGCCTCAGAAACCCAAGGAGTGGTCTCTATGAGTTGGATCCAACTCCACAGCAGTGGTTGTTTTTGGTTAAAGACCAACCAAAATGAATTGCAGACCAGACATCTCTGGGTCACCATTTCTCCTAAAGGCACTGTAAATAGTGATCAAGGAACTACATGTAACTCTGGCCCACATGGCTAATGAGCAGTGGACACAGGCTACAAGCACAGCTGGGCCTGATACTTTTCACAATAATGGTGATGATACTGGTGAGATCTCATCAAAACTACAATTATTAATTAAAAACATCTACCTGTCTGGTCTGCAGGGACATCCTGACTTGCTGAGTTGACTTACATAAAGACTTGAGAAGCATTTATCATTATCATTTATCAAAAGAAACCACAAAAGTTCCACAGCAAATGAAAACTTAAAAATGTATCTCATTTCTCTGATTTTAAAAAGTTACTTAAAAAGCAAGCTAATGTGTACCAATGTGCAAAACGTAAGTACATTAACTAGATGGCTGGCATCTTCAGAAATGAAAATCAACACACTGTGACAGTCATGATGCTCTTTAAATAAAAGAAACAAAACTGGAAATTCCCTTTGAGTTAAACGAAGAGTACTCACTGGAAACCTAACTACGGTCACATCTGTCTTTGTGGCTTCAACCAGGAAATCCATCCAGAAGTCCACGAGTTCCTGCTTGGCCACAGGCTGGTCTGTAGGCAGTTTCACAAAATGCTTATATATCAAAATTGTCTCTACGATAGACTTGAGGTACCTAAGAATTGAAAAACATAAAACATATAGCACCCAAATTTAGAACCGCCTCTTTCCAAATACCCTGGTATTCTTCTCTCACTGTAATTTAAATCTGGCATTAATAATTAGGCATTCAGAGTGACCAAACATTTATTCTTTGTTGATTACAGACCATGGACTTTAACATGTCATCTCAGTTAAATCCCACAAAAATTCCACAATTTATCCGTTTCCTAGATGAGGAAACAGGCTTAGAGAGCATAACTCACTTGCTGGAGTCATAAATGTACTTAAAATAGGATTTTTAAATAATGCTTATATTTTATTGAAGGAAGTGGTGAATACATGCTTTTAAAAATATGCTTCCTTAAGGGAGCTTTCCTAAACAGACCTTTTGTAAGATATCCTTATTTTTCTCCTAAACCACTCATTTTATACATTGTACAAATATCCTTAAGCCTAACACAGCCAATGGTACCTTGAAGGAAAAAGTTGGGAGAAAGGAGGAGGAAGAAAATTATATGAATGAGATAATGGGTGGGTATGCAGGCATTTTGTACATTACAAACACAGCAGTTAAATTCCATAAACATCAAGATAATGGAAACTTAAGGCATTGCTATGTGATGATTGCTACTATTGACTTATCACTGTAGCAAAATGCAACAATAACGAATGATGTTCACAGCCATCAGAACATATATCCAACACATTTTCTTTCTTTATGAACATCTCATTTGCCTCTAGATTCTGCATTTAACTCCGTAAGTATATAAAATAACTTAATTTCCATAAGTAAATAAAATAACTTAATTTTCAGTTCAATAACTGTAACATCATATGGGAACAAGTGACAGGAGCTATTTATGAAAAGTGAATGCTGTTTAAATATGTAACGCAGTAAAATATTACCATGCTGGTGTCTTCAGTTTAAAAAGCTTTTCAGATGCTTGAATGACTCTCATGTGGTCATTGGCCAAGACACTGGCCCCCAGAAAAAATCCAACTTCCCAGTAGCTCTGGAGTTTTTCCAAGTTTCCCTTCTTACCAAGGAGGCTACTTAGCTTCACCCCTAAAAGATGAACAGGAACCACAGTGTCATAAACACATAAACACACAGAACCGACTTTTGTTAAAAAGCAAAATTAAGCTTTTATTTCTACTTTCAAATTAAAACAATTTTGTAGCCTAAGCTTTATATATATATGAGACATATATAGACAGATAGATAGATTCATAATATAATCAGAAAGATACATAAAAGAGAGTGAGAATTACCCAATAATTTGAAAAGCCAGTGATACTGCCACTGTCATTTTGATATACATCATTCCAGAAATTTTTTTCTCTGTGTGTATATATATACAGAACTCTGGTGCAGCAGTGGGTAAGGACTTTGGCTGCTAACCAGAGGGTCAGTAGTTCAAACCCACCAGCTGCTCTGCAGGAAGAAGATGGGGCAATCTACTTCCACAAAGATTTACAGCCTTGGAAATCCTATGGGGGTTGCTATGAGTCGGAATTGACTGGGTGGCGGTGGGTTTGGTTTGGTTCGAGATATTTAATTAAAGCAGGTGCCATCCAGTCAATTCTGGCTCATAGCAACCCATTGTGCGTCAGAGTAGAACCTCCCCAATGAGTTTTCAATGGCTGATTTTTTTCAAAGTAGATCACCAGGCCTTTCTCCCAAGGTACCGCTGGGTAGAAATGCACTACCAACCTTTTAGTTAGAAGCAGAGCACGTCAGCTGTTTACACCACCCAGGGAATCCAGTTAGAGGCACCAAGAAGACCCAGACTTGCTTGGGACAAAATATGTGCCCATTTTATGTATTGATACACTTTTCTATATTGCCCTTGTGGTGGTTATGTTTGTGTGTCAACTTGGCTGGGCCTGGTTAAGTGGCTGAGCAGCTGGCAGTAGTTATTCCCATTGATGAGACTGGAAATCAACTCCATGGTGGGATCTACCACAAGCAGCTGAGTGGCTGCTTTGGGTACATGGTCTGCTTCCCATATATACAAAGCAGCTTTGGGAATGGTCTCTAGCCTATGACACACTTGGACCCTGCATGTAGCCGTGTCACTGCAAAGCAGCCGGCTATGCTCTGATGACCTTGGGACTTATGATAGACTTAAGTTAATGGCCTGCAGTGTGGTTTGGTAACATCGGGACTGTGCTTTTTGACTAATGAACCTAGGGGCTTCTCAGCCTCAGCAGCCAGCAGCTATCTGCGTGAAGAAACACCTCTAGCTCCAGTGGGCCAGGAGCAGGAGGCAGAGCTAGACCCCAAGGTTGAGGGGCTTTCACCCAACCCCTAGAGCTGGGCACTTTGAACTTGGACTTAAAGCCTCCAAATTGTAAGAATAAACTCCTGGTTGTTAAGGCCATCCATTTGTGGTATATATTCTTGTCAGAGCGGCACTAGGTAACCAGAACAGCTCTCAAGAAATGTACCAATTCACACTCTCTCTAGTAGTGTCTATCAATAACTTCTTGGTCACAGCAGTCTCAATCTGGGTATGATCATGTCCATTATCAATCTGATGAAGGAAAAAATAACTTACTGCTCTTTTTACCACTGACACTATCGTTTCATGTTTGTATTTCTTTTGTGAATTAGATTTGATTGTCTTTGGATATGATGTATAAAAGTTGTTTCTACATGAAGCTCTTTTTAAATATGGAGTTAACATCCTCTAATTTTTAATATTTTAGAGTTCTCTCTCTTTGTCTTCTTTTCAAAGAAAAACAGGAATGAACATTTCAGTACATAACATTTGTTCTCAATTTAGGATTGTTTCCATAGGATACTCTTAGAGGTAGTTTTCACTTGTTGCAAGGCTATGAACATTTTTAAGCCTCCTGATCCAAAGGGCCAAACTATCAAAGCACTACCTCTGACAGGCAAGTATACTTTTCTACCAACACCTTCAAATCCCTGGGGATGGGAATAGTTAACTTGGCTGCTAACCAAAAGACTGGCGGTCTGAGCCCACCTTGGAAGCAAGGCATGAAGATCTACTCTGGAAAAAACAGCGGCCACAGAAAACCCTACGGGGCAGTTTTGCTCTAACAGATATGGGGCAGCTGTGAGCTAGAGCTGGCTCGATCGCAACTGGTTGCTTTACCAAGTCCTTAACAGCTCAACATTTTTCTGTCTTTAAAAATTTGGGGGCTAAATTTATAAGCAATAAGTAATGTGTCATCGCTAGTTTAACTACTTTGTTTCTTTGATTCAACTGTCTGTTGACTCACTGTTGAACCCACCTAAATTTTGGTAATAGTCTAATTAGAATTAGTTGTTCTAAGTATTGAATATTTTAAAGTTTAGCTTCCAACTTAGCTTTATCTCCCTGCAGCAGTTACTAGATTCAAGGCTGTTTTAACAGAGAAAGTCAGGAAACAAAACCTTAACTGGACATATGTGTGCCTCCCACTGTGCATGACATACTGGAAATGTTAACTTTTCAAGCAATCCATACAACAACACAATGAGGGAGAGATTACCTCCCCTTGCCGTGAGGAAAACAAAATACAGAGAGGTTTAATAGTGTCTAATACCTCAAGCTTGTAAGTGATCGAGGTTAGAGTCTTTCTTTTTAACTTTTCACTATGAAGAATTTCAAACACACATAAAACAAGACAGAATACTACAATGAATGACTGTATGTTTAACAATTGTTACCATTTTACTATTGCTTCATCTTCCTGGGGAGCTCTGGTGGCTTAGTGCCTAAGGCACTTGACTGCTAACCAGAAGGCTGGAGGTTCAAATCCACCAGCCACTCCTTGGAAGGCAGGTTGGGTAATCTACTTCTGTAGAGATACCACCTCAGAAACCCAAGGAGGTATTGCTACAAGTCGGATCTGACTCGACGGCAGTGAGTTTTTCTGTTTTTTGTGAATCATCTTCCTGAACCATTTTAATTTTAAATAAACTAAGACATCATGACACTTCACCTGGATGCATGGTGGCATATAAGGATATTCTCTATATATCCTATTCCTTTATTGTTTTACTATCCTATCCCCACTGTTATGAGCTGCTGCCAAGTCAGTCCCCAGATCACAGTGACCTCATGCACAGTCCTGCGTCATCCCCTTGATTAACTGTCGATCAGACTGTGATCATCTATAGAGTTTTCACAGCTGATTCAGGTGGCCAATCACCTGGCCTTTTCTTACTAGTCCATCTCAGTCTGGAAGATCTGCTGAAACTTGTCAGCATCAGAGCAACATGCAAGCCTCTAGCTACAGACAGGTGAGGGCTGCATGTGATGTACATGGGCCAGGCACAGAACCCAGGCTCCCACACAGAAGGCAACAATTTACCCCTGAACCATCAATACCTCACATTCCATTAGTGCATCTATAAAAATAATAATTTACCAGTATCCAGTCCTGATTCAAATTTCCTAATTGTTAACACATCTCCTAGAGATTTTTTCCAAACCAGAATGGAATCAAGAATCACTCACTGCATTTGGTTTGTACATCTTTAAATCTCTTTGAATCTAACCAATCCATCCACACTTTTCTTTGTGACATTTACTTTCTGAAAAGATCAGAAGAGCTGCCTTGTAGAATGCCCTCACTTTCTGGATTTCTCAGATGGCTGCCTTCTAGTGTTTTTTTAATTTATTTCTCTCTACCCTGTGATTTCTCCTATTGGACATTAGATCAAAATAGTAAATAAGACTCAGGTTAAACCTTTTTTGGTGAGAATATTTTCTAGGAGATGCTGTGTATTTCATACTCATTATGCCAGGAGGCAATGTCTATCCCCTCCCAATTATCAGTGATGCTAAGTTGATCAGTGAGAGATCCCTCCATTGTAAAGGTTCATTTGTCCATTTGTAAACAATAGGCAATTAGTGGGGTGACACTTTTGGTATTGTGTAAATATGCAGTTATTATTTTTTTAAATAAACATTTTAACTTGACTATTTTAGTTTAATTGATGATGATCTCCAGTATTATTTCAGTATTATCATTATCAGCTTTATCATTCCTTCTCCATTATTAACTAGCATTCTTTTGAAGAATGCATTCTCCTGAAAAATACACATGGTAGGTAGCATACTCCTAAGAAGATCACACTGGGTGTTGCAAACCATTAAGCTCTCTACTACTAGCCAAAAGGTTGGCAGTTCAAAGCCACCCAGATTCACCTTGAAAGCTAGGCCTGGTGACCATCTGTTGAAAGTTCACAGCCTTGAAATCCCTGTGGAGCAATTTAACTCTGTATACATGGGATTGCCAATAAGTCAAAATCAACTCAACAAAAGCTAACAATTACAACATGATCTAAGAAGAGCTTTACATTATCAACTGGGAAGAACAAACATTCCTCTTAAATGGGAAGGAATTTTGTTCTTTTCCTAAAATTTCCAGTATTCTAAGAAGTCTGTCACCTCTCTAGGTGACAAATGAGTTTTTCCATGATTGGTGATTGAGTTTTTTTCAACTGTTTTTTACATATACAATTCAGTGACATCAATCAACTTGTGCAACCATCATCAATTTGGCAATGTTTTTTGCCAAATTTTCCATCTCCATAAACAAAAACCCAATGCTTTCTAAACAATAATTTCCTCCACTTCCCTTCCTGTTTACCCCTGGTTTGAAAAAAAAAAAAAGGCACTGCCATACAGTCAATTCAGACTCATCAAGACCTCTACTGGGTTTCCAAAGCTGTAAATCTTTACAGAAGTAGATTGCCTCATCTTCCTTACCACAGAGCAGCTGGGGGGTTTGAACCACTGACCTTCTGGTTAGCAGCCAAATGCCTTACTCACTATGCCACCTGAGCATTATTAAACTCTGCTTTCGACATATTTTTGTTTCAGTTCTTTCTTTTACAGTTATTATTATCTTTATAGACTGATGGATTTTTATATGTAGAAATGTACACGTCATATTCAGTAACCCCTTGATGTTGCCTTAGGATGAGATTCCAACGGTCGTTTTCCTCACTGTTCTATCACAACTATCATCATTATTGGGGACCCAAACCTATACTTCTGACTCTCTCCCATAAAATGTCTCATAGTCAAAAAACTCTACAGACAATGTGAAAATCATCTTTTATTTAAGTTAGGTTTGAATATAAAATTTAAGGTTTGTGAACATGAAAATAGGAAGATGCAAGATTTAAGATTCTAGTGTAAACATTTAGTAACTATTCAAAAGACTGGGAAAGGAAAGACAGATCCACAAAGCAATCAGTCACACCCTCAAACAGACACAGAGCTAGAATTCAGAGTCTTTGAGCAACAAATCCTAACAGTCAAGAGAAGAGTCATTTCTTACATTAGAAATTTAAACTTAATATGTTTAAAATAGGGAGCTATGGTAGCATAGTGCCTAAGGCACTTGACTGCTAACCAAAAGGCTAACAGTTCAAACCTACCAGCCACTCCTTGGAAGGAAGGTTGGGCAATCTACTTCCATAGAGATACCACCTCGGAAACCCAAGAAGGGGTCACTATGAGTTAGGGCTCAACTCGACAGTACATAACAACAACAACAACAACATGTTTAAAATGTGCATGAAATGTTGAATGGAAAACCAATTTGCTCTGTAAACTTTCACCCAAATAACAAAAAAAAAAAAAAAAAAAAAAATCACAAAGCAAAGGGTATATGGTAGAACAGAAGTGAAGAACTGAGGCCATCAATGCAACTAAAACCAGAAAAACATAATATGTTTAAAGGGCTTCAGATTTAGTACTCTTCTAATGCCATCTTAATTTTTAAATGTTTACTCTTTATAAATAAATCAAAATGTATTTATGAAGGGATTTCATAAAGAAAAGTCTGATTATAAGAAGAACTCAGTAATTCAGACTAATATAAGTTTGCAGAGGGCCAACAGGAGAAATGGGAGAAGATATAAACAAATGAAAAATATAATTACAGCATTTAAAGAACAATGCAACTGTGTACCTTGAAAATATGCCAACTATATTCTTTATTAGTTTATTTATTCTATACTATTATTATCTAATTATTAATTTAATTTAGCTAATTTGTTTTTCCTTGAAAACCCATTTACATCCATCTTATCACATAAAAGTTAACTTTAGGACAATCTATGTGTATTAGCACAATGTACGATTTAAAAAAACCACCAAACTCACTGCTGTTGAGTCAATTCATCTCATCCCTTCTCTTTGGGTTTCCAAGGTGATATCTCTACGAAATTATATTGCCCAACCTTCCTTCCGAGAAGTGGCTGATAGGTTTGAACCACCAGACCTCTGGTTAGCAGTCAAATGCCTTAGGCACTATGCCACCAGAGCTCCCATGATGATTAAGTAGGGTCTAAATCAGTCAGTTTTAAGTATCTTTTCAGTAAAATTTAGAGTATGTGTGAGTATTTTCGATGCTTAAAACTTAGCTCCTACGTTAGCTAAAAATTAACTGTCCAGTCATATTTTAGGTCTGTATATACTCTGCAATTTCCTGATTTTAAACTCAAACTTCTATTTTCAAATGTTAGTTCAACATGTATTATGAATGAGTTCTTCTTGGAAAAAAATTTAAATATATTTCCTTTACAAAGTTATACTAATCATATTTCCTGAAATCTCTGAGAGCTGACCCTCAAAATTCACATCTGGCTTAGAAATGAGAATGCAGAATAAGTATATTTTCAAACGAACTCTGGTAGCATAGTGGCTAAGGCACTTGACTGCTAACCAGAAGGCTGGTGGTTCAAACCCACCAGTCACTCCTCGGAAGGAAGGTTGGGCAATCCTACTTCCGTAGTGATACTGCCTCAGAAACCCAAGGAGGGGTCGCTATGAGTCGGGGCTGACTCGACGGCACATAACAACAACAACAACATGTTATTGCTGTACTTACATATACAAATCACCATCAATTCCAGTGATGACTTAGTAGCATCAACAAAACTTAACTTCATGTTCCAGAATGGAGCAATAAAAATTATTTTTAGACCACTGGTATGTCAAAAAAAAAAAAAAAAAAGAGTTTGGATAGCATAGTGGATAAGGCATTTGGTTGCTAAGCAGAAGGTCTGTGGTTCAAACCCACCAGCACCTCTGTGGGAGGAAGACGAGACAAGCTACTTCCATAAAGATTTACAGCCTTGGAAACCCAATGGTGGTCGCTGTAAGTCGAAAGTGACTTGATGGCAGTAGGTTTAGATATAGTAAAAGTTGTGGCTACTATAGATTTTTTTCAATTAACCTTAGATGCAAAATTTTTATTACAATCACAAGTTCTAAAAAGCACAAATTGTAATGTATTTCCTCTGATTTCACTTAACGGAAAAAAATAGTTTCAAACAGAATTTTGTACCTTGCATGCCACAGCAATCCAGCAGCAGCAGTTATTTTATGTTTCTTTTACTCTGGGCCTTAAAAAAGGACTTAATACTGTATTAAGGAACACTATGGCACAACTGTTAAGTGCTTGGCTGCTAACGGAAAGGTTGGCAGTTCGAACCCACCCAGGGACTCTACAGGAGAAACAACTTGGTGATTTGCTTCCCTAAAGTGTTCAGCTGCAAAACCCTATGGGTCAGTTCTACTCCGTCAGTGAGGGTTGCTGTGATCTAAAATCAACTTGAGGGCACCTGATGACAATACTCAAACTTATTTACCTTCAAAGACTTCCCATAGTATTACATATAAATATTTTATAAACCCTTCCCAAATAATGTAAAATAGCCTAGGATTAATTTTTCTTTAAGAAAAACTACACAAAGCATTCTCCAGTTAAAAAATCATAAAGGAAAAAAAAAATCCTTCTACAATTCATAGCTTCAGTAAGACTAATGTTTATTTTCCCCTATGAAAAATAAGGCTAAATACTTCTCTGTCTGTAGTAATAACCACTACAACAGTTGGAAAGTGTCTCTGAAAGGGGGTGGGTGGTTAAAGGCTCAAGAGAATAAACTCCAATTTACCACAGTTTTTAAAATCTTTTTAAAATCTTTTTTAAAAATGTTATCAAAGTCAAAATCAAGAAGACCACACAAAATGTCTTTACTAAGATGCCTAATTTCTTAAATTCCAAAGAAAGGTCAGCAGATAAGACAATGTCTATACATAAAAAAGACAAAAGAACAGTCAAACAATGGCTCCAACTTAAAGACAGTCTTCTCAGAGATTAGTCACTACTAAGATGATCATCTGCTGGGACTTTGAAGGACACCACCTCCGTCATGGATAGAATTGTGTGTCTCCCCTCCAGAATTTATCTCAAGTTGTCTGGGCCATGATTCTATGTGGTTCAGAAGGATATAATATGGGAGATATGTGATGATGTCCCATAATATGATGTGATATGATAAGCCAATCAGGTGTAAAAGCATTAAGATTAACAGTGGGCTACCACACCCTTAGTCCCATCACAGCCCTGATCAAATGTAAGGAGAGTTTCCCTGGGTGTAATCTGTAAAACCTTTCATCTTACAAGAGATAACAGGAGACAGAAGGAACAAAGACTAGGGACCTACTACTACCAAGAAAGGGGACCCAGGAGTGGAGGGTGTCCTTTGAACCCAGCATCCCTGCACCAGAATCCTCCTAGGAAGAAGAGACACAGAGCAAGAAGGTCTTGCCCTAGAGCCAGCCTTTTAAACTCAGATTCCAGCCTCCTAAACTGTAAGAGGATACATTTCTGTTTGTTTAAAGTCATCCAGTTGTGGTATTTCTGTTATAGCAGCACTAAGGCAACCCCCACCAATGAGGATGTAGGGCAGAGGGGCATGAGAAATACAAGAGGAAACAGAAGAAGACATTTTGTTTTAAACCATCAGGAAAATATAATCAATTTACAATAGGAAATGGTCCTGATCTTTCATAAAACACAAATCTTATTTGGGCATTGGAGGCTGAATGCAGAGCCCATGCCATTAATATTGGTTACTTTAAGCTGGAACAGTAAATATTAACCAGGGGACTTTTAGAAACTGATAAAATACATTAAAAACTGAATTATATCATATTATCAGGCTTCGGTACCAAGTGTGAAATTAAACAAGGAGATATAGTAAACTTCTGTTTTTTTTTCCAGGAACTCAGATCTTTGATTTTTATTTTGCCCCACATTGGGTTCCATGTCTGGATTTCCATGTAAAATAACAAGCTATAATTACCAACTTTCCGGAGCTCAAAGGAAGATTCAAACTGGTGCCCAGCTGCCAGGAGGAGGACCGCATAATTAATTCCTGACTGTAGTGTTGGCTCAGATTCAAATGCCTTTTTGAACCTATAAAAAACAAATGTACAATTTACTTTCTCAATCATGAAATCCTGGGTGTGCAATAGCTTCTGTTTACATAACTCCAATGCCTAAGCAAGTAAAAATATTCCACTGGCCTTCACCCCAGAAGCTAGTGTGCTATTTAATTTAGGATTTAATGCTTAAGTAACTGCATATCCTCACCCGAGCTCCACTGCATTCCCCCACTGAATTCTCTCTTGCCCAACTAGTTCCAGCCTTTTTCAAATCCTCTCCTTGATAATCTACCAGAAATATGTGAGGAAAAAGTAAGTGTATGTGTGTGTAAGAACTGGAAATTTAAAAATGACAGCCCTGCACATACTAAAATAAGTTTTTTAAAAAGCCTTAAAATATACAAAACATGAAGGAGGATCATCAAGGTTACATACTGAAAGGATAAGTTCCGTAACAGTGGTATAGAAACAAAATCAATAAGGTCACTTACAGTAAGAAAATAAGAAAAACAGCAATTGTGCCTGTGCATACTAATTCTGGCTAGAAGATAATAAGAACCGTATTCTGAATATGCATGAAACTGAGTATCAACCTTTGAAAACATTTCAACATTTGGAAAGCGTTCAGTGTGTGTTCACGCACTGTATTTTCAAGGTAACATTTCCTAGTATCTGTGTTAAGGATTTGTTCACATACATCATTATATAAGTACAAAGCCCTTCGATTGTATTTCATTTGGGAGTGTGGAGAAAAAGAAAATTAAAATAAATTCTCCAGTGATTAATATAAATGTCTGAGATAAAATTTGTATACTTATTTAAAAAAAAATACTGAAGTAAGGACTACATACCTGATGAATGTCTATGTAATTACCCCCCAAAATTGGTTATACAGGGAAAAATATATTTAAATTCCAAGATAAGGCATTCCTACTTAAATCTTAATTGTGAAAACAGATAGAAAGAGTAAAGGTAGTGCTATGCACACCAGCGTATTACTACATTAACTTCAAAAGAGAAGTGCATTTTTCAGAATGTTGAGGATCATGTTCCCTTTTAAGGGTCTAAATTTTAAGTTGAATAATATCTCTGAATGGAAAAACAAGAGTGAAAAGTAAAATTATTCATCTTAACTAGCTAGCTCTTATATGTATCTGTCTGTGAATTATGGGGAAAAAATCCTTCCAACTACATCACTGCAGGTAATCAAAAAGCATTATTATATCTCCAGATGTTCAGGTGTTTTTCCTAACTCTAAAATGGAAAAAGTTGGTACCTAAATGCAAATACTCAAGGCCAGTCATATCAAAGACAGATACGACTAACAATTCTTCAATAAGCTTATATAAGCCTCAAAGTCTCTGTTCAGAGGCAAGGAGAAGGTTGCAATAAAAATGAGCTTAAGGGGGAAACAAAAAAAGAGAAGAATTTGTACACCTTCCTTTCTATCACAAAGGATCATTCATATAAAGATGTACAAAATTTTTCTACAAGTAAATTCCTTCATTTTCCCTGAAACTAAAGAACATGAAGCTTCTCTCTTAAAGATATAGAAAGAAAGATGCAAGTAACCAAGATATGCCCCAATCAATCAATATTGACTAAGTACCTCCTATGTGCCAAAACCAACCGAAATGAAAAGCTGGGCTTGACAATCAAGCACACAAAATCAAAAGGGCAGCTTTTGTCCATGGATAAAGCGAAGAAGGCAGGAAGGGATAGGAAAGATGGATGAATGAGATGGTAAATGCAGGGAGGCAGTGGGAAAAGTGCTTAGGGATTGTAATCCATCTTGCACAACAAAAGGTATATGAATTCTTAAATGGAAAATCAATTTGCTCTATAAACTTTTACCCAAATCACAATAAAAAGTTTAAATTAAAAAAAGTTGGGCTTGTTTATTACTCTTAATGTATTTTTCTGTTGCCATGTTGTTGTTGTTGTTATGTGCCATCCAGTTGGATCTAACTCATAGCAACTCCTCCTTGGGTTTCTGAAGTGGTATCACTATGGAAGTAGATTGCTCAACCTTCCTTCCGAGGAGTGGCTAGTGGGTTTGAACTGTCAGCCTTTTGGTTAGCAGTCAAATGCCTTAGGTGCTGCGCTACCAGAGCTCCTTTCTGTTACCATAGCAACATATATTTCTGTAAATTTAACCAACATATAAATAGCAATAAAAATAATAATTCCTATTTTTCTAGAGTGTATATCACTCCATAAAAGTAAGTTGAGTATTGAGGAAAAAGTCTTATTAACATCTCCTGGAGATTAAAATACCATGTAGGTGTATTACAAAATAAAGAAAAGCCTGTCATATATGATTAATATTCCTCCCACAGAAAGTGGGATTTCTCAGACATTGTAAAAGGAAATTAGTACAGTCTTTCTTGCGAGAAATTTGCCAATATCCATCAAAATTGTCAAATTAAAAAAAAAACAAAAAACTGTGTACTCTTTGACACTTTGAATTCTATGAATTTTACTAAGGAAAAGCATTTAAATATGCAATCAGAAATTTAGCTACAAGATTTGTTATAAGATAAAAAATTACTCTAAATTTCCAACAATATTATAAAGTATAATATAGAATAAAATATATTCCAGATGTTGGGAAGTTATGTAGTCAGTTATATTATAGAAGAAAGTTCAGTATCAGAGAAACAACTTCTGTTTCCAAGTAGGACACAGTAGTCTACTTGGAAGCCTTCACTCCTTCTATAACAACTAGGGAAAAAACATATTTTTACAGATATTGGATATCTATGGAAGCACACAAAAAAAATCCTTGAAACAGAATTCCAGACAGGTAAGAGCCCTTCTAAATTATTGTTGGCTTCCATAGTGATATTTGCTGATTCTGGGTCTAAGATTAGACTTGGGGTTAGTATACACAGAGAGACTATGCCTTATTTGAAACTCTACCAAAAAAAAAAGAAAAGAAGAGAGAAACTAGTGGATTTCTTGATAGTTGCATGAGTTAGCATGACAGGGTGAAAATGTAGAAGCCCCAAACCTGTAGCTAGCTTTCTCAATAAGACATTTGTTCAATGCTTTATAGTAAAGGTTGGAGGAGCTGGACTTGGGTAGCAGAATGACATCTCCTGAAGACTATCAGTGTGCGGGCTGAAGTCTCACTAGAGGAAGAACAGACCACAGACATACAACAGGCCTTTCCGTTAAGAAATTTACCAAAATTTGGATCGGTATAATGTGGGAGACTAAAAAGCTGAACTCATATTGCAAAGAATAGGTAATATCAATCTCCCACAGTACTTACGAGGTAAGGGTACAAAGAACTGTAAGATTCTCAATCAAAATCCCAGAAGTCCACAGCCAAAAAGGAAAGACAAAACACAGACTGAGTCAACTAAAACTAAAACTGAGAAGCAACCTAACTCAATTCCATTTGTTGAGGTAATGAGCTCCTTACTCTATCTGACTAAGAGAGGAAAGAGAGAGCCGTCTGTGAGAGAAAATACAATCATCTTCAGTGTCAAAGATTCTTGAATACAAAATACACAACATATAATCTGGCAAAGAATAAACAATTATGAAACACGCAGATAACCAGGAAAAGGTGACTGAGAAGCAAAAGCAAAAACCGACAATAGGAGCTGTCACACAGACAAGCCAGATGTTGGAGTTTGCAAACAAAGAATTAAAAAAAATATTATTAAAAATATAGTTAAAAACTAAAAAGATAAAATTGATGAAAAGATAAACAATTTCAACAGGGACTTGGAATCTAAGAAAATGATAATCAAATAACCCAGACCTAAAATAATCCATATCTGAAAATAAAAACTCATTATATAGGTTTAACAGCATACTAGGCACAGCAGAAGACAGGTTTAGTTAACTCAAAAACAGATGTAAAGAAAGTATCCAAACTGAAGCAGAGAAAGAGAAAAAGGACAAAACAATTCACACACAACAGAGCATGTGACATGTAGGACAAAGTTCAATGATCTAATACTTTTATGATTGTAGTTTCAAGAAAAAAAAATAGAACACAAGACTTATGTGAAGACATAATGACCAAAAATGTTCTAAAACTGATAAAGATTCAAGGAGCTCAGCAAACCCTCAAGCAGGATAAAATAAAATAATCACAGTCTAAATGCAAACACCAAAGAGAAAGAGAAACTTTGAAATGGCTGAAGAAAAAAAAGACAGGTTAGCGCCAAAGGAGCAATGAAACTTGCTTTGCAATACAAATACGAAAGCCAAAAGAGGACAGAATGACATCTTTCGAGTGATAAAAGGAGGAGAAAAAAAAGAACAAGGTAAAGAGCGATGTTTTCGGAAAGCAAACTGGGATAGTTCGCTGCCAGATCACACTACAAAGAAAATACTAAAAGTACTTCCTCAGGCTAAAAAAAAAAAAAATGATCCAGTTGGAAGCAATGAACAACAGAAATAAAAAGCATCAGAAGGTGGATATGTGACAAATCCACTTCAAAGTTACTGAATATTTAAACTCTTGAAGTTTCTTTGTTCAGGAAGGAGTAAAGTGAAAACTTAGTGAAGCTAATTTAATAACTTTTCATTTAAATATTAAACATGCAGATTGTAATTTCTAGGATCCTTCTAAAAGAACAATATAAAAATACATTACTAAAGAGCTGACAGAAGAGATAACAGACTAACAAAAAATACTTCACTAATAAAATAAGCCATGATGGAGAAGAAACAAACAGCATATGAGAGAAACAGAAAATAAATAGCAAGATAGTAGACATAAGCCATTTGACTACTAAGCAGAAGGCTAGCGGTTCAAACCCACCAGCCACTCCACAGAAAGAAGACTGGGCAACCTACTTCCATAGAGATACCACCTTGGAAACCCAAGGAATGGTTGCTATGAGTCAGGATCAACAACAGCATTGAAGTTTGGTTTTTGGTATCCATTCCCACATTAAATGTAAATGACCTACTGAACAATAACAACAAAAAAAAAAAACCTAAACTATATGTGTTTACAAGTGACATATCTTAAATATAACGACACAGGATGAAAGTAAAATAATG